TAATTCATAGGTATTTTATTCAAAAATCTGCCAAAATACCTATGTATCAGGATGAGCATTATGCACGTCTCTGAGGATGGCCCGTTGGCCTTGTGATGGCACAACTAACGATCGCCCCGTCTTGTAGACCCAACTCATTCTGACGACTGAATAATGGTTGAAAATCAGAGGAGGAAGAGAACGGCCAGCGAGATTGCAAGGACCTTTTTACCCAACTTAGATGAGGGTCCTTCGATGTCCACTGTCGAACTTGCTGACAGCTTACAGGTGCGTTGACTAGGTTTTGCAAAAGATTCACGGTCTTAAAAACAGGTGCCCCGTTAACGCCATCGTCTACAATGGGAAGCCTACTTAAGGCGTCAGCCACTACGCTTGCACTACCCGTATTTCATTGCATATGTGCAAGCAGACAGAATGAGTGCCCATTCTCGGCGAGGGCATCTGTTGTATCCCTCGTCTTTCTCCCAGCAAACCTAAGAGGGGTTTGTAATCACTGTGAATCTCGAAGGGTCGGCCGAAAAGATACAGGTGGAAGCGATGTGAGTCAAACATTATTGCTAACGTCTCCTTGTCTAGTTGTGAATAGTTGATTTCCGCCTGGAACAGGGTTCTTGATGCAAAGGCAGTCGGCATCTTCGCACCAGAAGGCATTCAGTGTATTAGAACCGCACCTACGCCGTAGGGAGACGCATCGCATTTCAGTATGATTGGCTTTTCAGGGTCATAATGAAGTAGGACAGATGAGTAGGCAAGGGCCGCCCTTGCCTGTTCAAAAGCACTTTGTTCGACCTCCGACCAGTTCCAGCAACGATTCTTTTCAATTAGTCGATAGGCTTTCGAATTGTGGCCGATTGATTCATTAAGCGACTAAAGTGGGTGACCAACCCCAGGAATGAACGCAATTGACTAGTATTGTTGGGGTGCGGCGTCGTCTTCAAGGCTTTGAGCTTATGTTCGAATGGATGGAGGCCAGTTTTATCCACCTTTAAGCCCAGGTATTTCACCGAGTCGGCAAGTACACTTATCTTTCCTGAGTTTAAAACCCGCGTCTTCTAAACGTCATAACACGATGTTTAGTCTCTAGATGACTGTGTTCAGATGGGCCGATGACTAATATATCGTCAAGATATGCGCAAACGTGAGGTACATACTTCATAAGGTTATCAATCAAGCGTTAAAATAAACCTGAAGCCGAAATTGCTCCAAATGGTAGCCTTTTGTATCGAAATAAACCTCGATGCGTATTGATGGCGATGGCGTCTCGGGATTCAGTATGTAGGACGATTTGGTTATAAGCACGCTTCAGGTCCAAAGTTGTAAATTCACGATCACCTGAGAGGAATGCCTACAGATCCTCAATGCGTGGGAGGATAAATATTCAGTTTAGTTGCCTAGTTGATCGTCAGCTTGTAGTCGCCAAAGCTACGCACGTAATCATCGGATTTAAGAAAAGGAACTATTGGGACTGCCCATTCCGAATACTGCACGGACTCGATAATGTCCGCCTTCTGTAAACGATCCAGCCCTTATTCGACCTTCGGTGCGACTGCATAGGGAACTGTACGAGCCCTGAAGAACCAGGGCCGAAAATCTGACTGAAACTAGAACTTAACAGGCGGACCGCGGTAGTGGGTAGCAGAATCGTCACGAAATAGTTCCTTATGATTTACCAAAATGGAATCTAAAGCCTGATTTGCACCGATCCAATGTACATAGGACAGTACAGAAGGCACGCATTTAACCCAATGCCGTCCGAGATTTTTACGCTGGCTTTCTCCCACCACATGAACCGGCAAATAATGAAGTTCCCGCTCATGCTCGACTGTGGCTGTAAAGACCCCTCGAACCTCTACGTTCTGTCCAGTGTAACTACGGAATGTTGAACTAGCCGGAATGAGGGAGGGTAATTTCTGAAGAGAGGCCTCATTGATGCGAATAACAGCTTGGCCAGTGTCGATTTCAAACTTAACGGTATGGCGACCAACCAGAAGCGTGGTGGCGTAGGGCGATTGGGGCGGCGGTTTGGCCGAAAACGTTCGGAGTATCGCCTCACCATCCCCAGCCGGATTAGGGTAGGTCGTATGCGTGTATAGTTCGCTCGTCTTTTGGAGAAACACAATCGTCCGATTTGCCCGATTTTTTTTGCAAAACTGGCATACCGTCATCTGGTGTCTACAGTCTGACCACCGGATATGATGCTGACCACAACGGTAGCAGGATGGCAGTTGTTTTGGGGAGCTGATGATCGCTGTTTAGGCGGAGACACAGCAGTGTCGACCAGGGAGATAGCCATTTCAGATTCCAAGGATGCTTTCACTCCATCTTCTCACTGATTCAGCTGCTGAAGGTTTTGCCGCACGCGCTCCTGATGACTGGCAATATCACAGGCTTTCTCCCATGACAAATCCTTCTTCTCTGATAAGACATTTTCGCGAGCTTTTTCATCGGGCAGGCCGACGATCAACTGCTTGGACGAGCATTGCGTGCTCGAAGTTGTTTGCCTTGATCTCTTTATACACACAGTCAATGGATGGCCAGAGTCAGATTAGTAATAAAATCACTGACACATTCATTGGATTCTTGACGCATTTGACAAACCCGATAGCGACTGAGAAAGACGTCTTTTTTTCCCCACACTGACTTGAGTTTTGTGAAGGCTGTTTGGAGATCTATTGCCTTTTGTAGATTGAGGGCATCGAAATATCGTTGTCACAACTCTCCGAGATTCGTCCGGAGGAGTTTCGACTTAGATGGTATGTCTAGCACAATCGTACGTGACAAAATCGGGAGTAGTTCAATACAATCCTCAAATATCTTCCTTCATTGCAACCACGAGTCATTTGAGGGTTTCTGGGTGTTCTTTGGCCAGAAAGGCAACGGTGTACGCAGCAATGTAGAAATGTTCGTTAGGCTGCGTCGACAATGTTATGCATGCAAAACAGGTTAATTGGAAATATGACGAGTACTGAGTACGATAGACAGCGCAAGTGAGGTGGCTTGTGGAAACGGCCGGGGATATGGCAAGGGGAATGTCATAGGCTGATGGGTGGCCAATTAGCACAGTGGTCTGAACAGGGGTACATGACCTTGATCGTTCGCTTGTCACGCGCGTGGCATTATGTCCTTACAGTACGGGCAGCATACACTGCATCCACCATGACGAAAGACAACATTCGGGATGGCGGCAGGCCCATTTTCCAGCTGGGATCCCTGCCACCCTCCCCCCAATTGTAGTAGGCAAAAATCCTGGTCGTGTTTATTGTGAACCAGGGGTCGTGGTGGCACGCCTACGCGCGGATCCGGTAGTGCCAGCCGCCTGTACTCCCTCCGGATTCCGGTCTTGACACCAGGCCCAGTTGAAAGAAATGAGTGCATCGAACGCTGTCAAAGTCTACTACCACTGTAAATCAGGCACGGGTCCCCGAACATACTCCCCACTCCTGTCGGGCACACGGTGGACATCGTCGGTCCCGACGGTCGAGCTGTCGTCACTTGTACTCCTGGACCACGGCGGCGGATCCTTGAGGGCTTACGCACAGTAAAGTTATCTGGACTAGTAGTTGCACGATATGCACAACCCTCCCTACACTTTTGATTAACGTTATCACTGTCGACCTCTGTGGTTTCACAGATACCTCCTAAGATTTAGCGAACATACCAGACTCATTGCAATCGCCCAGACCCCTTGCGGGAGACCCAGTTGCACGTATCACTCCGAAAAATATAACTATTCTAACCTTGGTCGTTCGGAGGAACAATCCCCAGGCAGTCTATCATAAGGACGTAAAGATGCGACGACTCGCCTTCCTCTGGGGCGCAATTCGAAAAAAAACGGCGGTTCCTGAGACGTTGACCACCATGCCTGCAGACTGGCCATACACAAACTGACGACACTTCCGCAAGACATCAGAAAAGCAGCATTCTTCGGGATCAGGAACTCAGGTGCGCTACGATACAACACCCCTAGAACACTGAGGTACACAAAATCACACCGTTAGGAATGACCCGCATGGAGAACCCGAAGTCAATCGGCAAAATACTGAGACACCCCAGGCATAAAACGAATGAAACCCAGCGTGAGTGCATCCCGCATGCAGCGGCTCATGTTGGAGAAACAACCAGCATCCGTCACGCTTTACTTCTCAATTACGGTGCTTCAGAAACCGGCATCCGCACCGCATGCGTCCAGCTACCACTGATCTCACTTTTTGTGCACTCTTCGCCTGTTAGGGGATAGCGCAGTTATCCCGGCAACTCAAGGATCACGCCGAATGGCATACCGACTCGCCCCTCGGTAAGTGAGTTCGGTGCTGATTTGCCAACCTACACGCGTTACTGCAGTCCCCGTGACGAAGACGGGGTCAGGGACTGCAGGCCACGGAAAACTAGCACCCACCCGCGGTTTGTCTACACCTTCAATGTACGAGAAGAATGGCATCTCCCCGGCCGACCGAACCCTCCGTTGTCCATGGGCTTCCCGCCAAAACAAGACGGGAAAACACAACAAAATGGCAGTGACGACCAAAGGATCGAGGGCGGCAGTGCAACCCGTCTTAGCAGCAAATCGTACAACGGTGCATCGCGCACATTTGCATTGGATCAGTGATGATTAGCACCACGTCCAGGTCGCGGCATAGATGCACAGTCTACATCCAACAAAGCAATAAAGGGATCCAATTTAAAAATGGACCAACCATAAACTCATCATAGTGCAAGAGTGACAATTCCGTCAAGCATAATGGTAATCCCCCGGCGTCCGGAGAAAATAAGACGAAGGAAGGCATGAAACATTGTGCGCACAAACCCGGGGCTCCTAAAAAACCTGAACGCGATAGCGTCCGGGAATCATCAAAATCTCAAGTTACGACCGAAATCACGGTAGAAAAGCCACTTCACTAAACGTTGGATATGCGATCTATGCAGTCCTGCCCATTCACGTAAAAATGCAAACAGGGGCCAAATATGTAATGTACAAAAAATTATTCACATAGGGAAAAAAACTAGGATTCAGCTTTTAATGCGACTTCAGAGGAGTCACTCTCCCCTGAGTCCATATTATCACCGGGCGAAGCGCTTTGTAACGTTTTGACTGGAGATGGAATTACATCCATATCTTCAGGTCCAGCCAATTTCACACCAACAACTGGGACAGCGGATGGTTTTGTTTCCTCTTCTACTTCATTTACCTCGGGTTTTTCTTCCGAAAGACCGTTCACGGTTTCTGTCTCATTTTGTTCTGGCTCTTGTGCAACGACCGAGTCTTCCCCTCGTTCGGAGATAGAATTAGTTTCGTCCGACTGTTTTTCCCCATTCTCGTTCTCGGACCGGGACGGACTCGGAGGGGTGTCTTGGGCTTTTTTAGCCTTTGAAACATCTTCAGACCTAAGCTTAGATCGAGACCGAGATCGGTGGTTTCGAGAGCTCTTGTCAGTTCTACCCTTGGTTTTGTCACGTTCCCGCTCTCTGTCTCGATCACGGGAACGATCCCTTCTTCGACCTCTGCTTGAATCTCTATCCCGTTCACGCTCCTTATCACGCATGCGAGACCGGTCTCGTTCGCGCGATCGGCCGCGTTCTCTCTCACGGGGACGATCATGATCCTTTTCGCGAGAACGCTCACCGTCCTTATCACGGGAACGTTCACGTTCCCTGTCCCGAGAGCGTTCCAGATCCTTATCACGGGAACGCTCACGTTCTTTCTCTCGTGCAGGCTCTGGTCCCTTTTCCTTCGAGCGTTCACTATCTTTTTCCCGAGAACGTTCGACGTATTTATCACGCGAACGTTCTCGAACCCTTTCCCTTGAGCGTTCCCGGTCCTTGTCCTTTGACTTTTCCCGATCCCTTTCGCGTGATCGGTCACGGTCTTTAGACCTATCACGGCCGCGGCGAGTTCGATCCCGGTCACGAGAATGACTGCGGCGGCGAGCATCCCGCTCTCGACGTTCCCTTCGTGCACGTGAGCGACTTCGGCTGTGCCTCGGACGTCGGTCCGATGGTGACCTTGATCTTCTGGAACGCCTGCCAACCCGTGATCTTGAACGATCGCGTCGTCGGTCACGACTCGGTGACCTGGAATAGTGTCTTCTAGAGCGTGAACGACGATGCCGGCTACTACGGTGGTTTCTGGAACGACGTGGGCTTCGGGATCGAGACCGGCGGGAGCTCCTGTAGGATCTTGACCTCCTTGAGCGGTCCCTTGATTTGGAGCGTGAGCGACTGCGACGTCGGTCCACAAAGCGACCAACTATAATTTAAGAAAAAATTTCAGGATGGCATGATTAAAGGCAAGTAATGTGCGCGAAATCCAAACTTCTCATCGGCGCGGTAAGTAGGACAACACTAAATAAGACAACTTACATTAATGGGACCAAAACCCTTAAGACTGTGCAAACTGATGGATGGCAGTATATCTTGTGACAAGCATCATTAAGGCGCAGGCCTACATAGGAACTTGGGACAATAACAGAAACCGTATGAATTAAAATCAGCAGCGAGCTAATTGGCTGTCGCATTTGGAAAACGACGGGGACATCAGCATAGATCACGCAGAGCGCGAAATTAGGGGAACCCCGGCTTGACACTCAAAATCCAGTAGTCCAAAAAAACCCGACATATGGGGAGTCGGGGGATTTGCTTGACAGTTTGAAATTTTCGTGAAATTGGGGAAGCACCGAAAGGGACTACGTATATTTAACCTTCAGCCCTTGCATGCACGATTTTTGCATTTGTCGAGGATCCAAACAATCCCAAGTTTCCTGTAACGTCTAAAAAGATGATATCTACGCCCAAAATAAGTCCGTCTTTTGCATACCATAAGCAAAGGACAATAATTCAACTGTGAAAAATGTCAAGTAATAACAGGGGACAGATCAAAGCACAGTAGTTCTAACGTCAAATAAAATTTAAAAAGCGAGTCTGGGCGTAAATGGATTTCTGCTGAGCACTAAAAATCGTGCAGCAGCGGCAGGCCTATGTAGACTAATAATAAGTCTATAAGTCTAACATCGGTGACCTGAACGGTCGTCTAAAGGCTTCCGGAGGTTTGCTTAACTGACATACGCGAGACAAGACAACAGTGCAGTATGCGCAGCTTGGTACGAAAAAAGTTGGACAGTCATTGGGTTCTACCAAGGCTGTCGACGATGAGTCGAGGTTGTGCTGCGCCGTCCCACCTAGTTCAATCTAACGCATATTCGGTGCCTTTTTAGCAATGTTTACTTACACCGGCTACTACCAGTAGTGGTCTGAAGGTTGACACGTGGGAGAATAAACAGACGTCAAATAGTGTAGCTTAGGCGATCCTTATGGGTCGACCGCATTGATACACTTTTACGGGTAGTCACACGTGGCGAGCGAGACGAGGTATGATGGCAGCCGCACCAAATACTTATGGATACGATTATCCGAGGACTCCCTAATATAAGATCATTAACGCGTCGTGGTAGTCATACTTCATGGAAGGATGCTTAGCCAGCCGCTGTCTGAACGTACATTCCGCAATTATCATTTGGCCATAATGGACACAAGTACCGAAAGGGGACGTAGGGTGGGTGCCGCGTCAAACCGTTACTCCGGAATATGACCTACGTACAAATCATCTCCGACAGCGCAGATGGTGATGGCCAACAATGAACAAACCAGTGGTGCCCACTACTTCAAGCGAACAAGACCAACTGCGTATTCAGTAACTCGGAATTGACCCATGTGTTCAGGATTATAAAGAAAGGGAACCAGAAGGCAAGATGAGTGCGAGAAAAGACGCATCAAGACGAATTAAGACTGCGTACCTTCTTTAAGGACTGGATTTGGCGGAGGCGAGGTTTTCTTGGCAGTATCCTCAAGACCGAGCAGTGCACTCGCCGGCTTTATGATGGCACAGTTAGAATGTTGAACCATAATCTGAAAGAGGACTTGTATTAGGTAATTCGTTACCTGTCGGTCGCCTATAGTTGCACCCATCAAGCCAAAGGCCTTAACAACTGAAGGCTGTTCGGTGAACTCCACATATGCTGCCCTGTCCTCGTCAGTGCCCGCCATGCGTACACACTTAACTTCAGCGTGTGCATTAAAAAATTCGAGAACCTAAAAATTTGGAAACCATTTAGCATGACTTAGATACAAATTTTAAAAGCTTACGACCTGCAGTGCAACGCTAAAGCTAATGCAGATAATCAAGAACCTGGAAATGGTAAGGTAACACGGAAGGTCGGCGGCTACGCAAGTTACCTTACTAAGGTGGAGCGCGGATTCATGAAACGAGGGCAGAGACCAGGTTGGCTTAATGTCCCCTTCACAAGTAAAGTGCTGGTAGGCGTCTACCTGATCTGTTTAGCCATGGTCACACCCTGTTACGAAAAACAACTCGAGAAAACAAAGAAAACAAAACATTATGCTCCAGTTGTTGCGGAGATGAAACCCGACGGGTTCACGAAACTCGTCTAGCGGTCACCGCTAAACCATCGCGGTTTGGCATCAACGCCAATCACAGGCGGTTGTCATCGCTGCAAAACATGATACACAGACCAAATGGAGCAGTTAGTTCTAGCAGTCCGGTAGGCAATTTTACGAAACATTAAAATGCAAAGATTGTTCAACATATCGAAAGTTCAAATGTGGAAAGAGATCCCCGTCGTAAGTTCTGCGAACGATCACACTGCAGGGCCCGTTTGGCGACGATCTCGACTGCTCAAAGTCGTTTGGAGCGTGGGACGAACAAAAGTTACGTAAAGATGAGATATGGTTAACTCTATCCTCGCATTCTAGGGTTGTTAAATGTGAGCTAGCTGGGAGGTACATTTTGGGAATTCTGAAGACAGTCAGTGCAAAGAACCTTATACGACGCGTACAAGTTCTGGCTAAACAATTCGGCTTTGGCTGAGAGCGCGATCGAGCCTATCTTTAGGGTAAACCAAACACCTGGATTGTGGTGCGGACCGAATGCATTACTCACAGTAGCCGCATATAAATGCGACATAATAAAGTCAGGCTAAGTGTGCCTTTTTACACCAATAAAAACATCTGCGGGACGGATGCGATCAAATGCCAAAGGTATTAGCAGCAACAGTTATCGCACTTTGTCCGGATAGAATAAAAAAAACAAAAACAATTACCTCTTCACCGGTAGTCTTAGGGCTAAGATTTGATATAAACACAGTTCGACGAATCTCCTCGATGCGATTTACATCCGTCGCTGCAGGCAATGGTGGGTAGGATGGGAACCCCATTGTGGCAAGTCTCGGTTCAATTGTGTGTATGGCCTGTTCGCCAGGTCTTCCGACAACCATACTGATAACATCGAGAGGCCAGTTAGCAGATCGTGGGAGGACTCCAGCGGCGGTATGAGGGGGCGCTCTGACCAGATTGGCGTAGTTCTCGTCAGGAATTGTATCTCGTCCGTCAACTAGCGGGAGAACAATCAGGGCCCGGTCGAGAAAAATCGTGTTATTCAAATGTAAAGAAACTTCTGCGTTAACGACGTCTGCATATTTAACGAAACAGACCTTTAAAGGGATAAGGCCACGCGTAACACAAGCATACCTTAGTCTGCGTATCATCTTTCTCAGGAGGATAAAGGACGATATCCTCAATCACACCAATGTGTCCAAAAAGCGTTCTCATCTGCTCCATGGTGGAGGTCGGAGAGATATTAGTGACCTGAACAATGCGACCCTTAACTTCGACCGTCATCTTTGGGCTGAAATCATGCAAGGCGCAGACGGAGACCAACACCAATTTAAACAAGTGGGTATGCAAGAGGTAAAGACTTAACTTTTAGGAGATTCATACATCCCCAGCTGTCTTGTTACACCACTTATGAAATCTGAGCATGCTCAAAGCTAAAGCTAACCGTTGGATAACTTAATCGAAGTATTGAAAAAGGACTTAGTGTCCAGGTAGCTAGCAGTAGGAACCGCAGTCCCTAAATCGGTGTGACAGAAACAATAATGCTTCCCGCACCCATACATGCCTAACTAAATCTAGCACGCCTTTGCAAGAATTTTTACAGATCCAAAATCTAAGTTGAATATTATACTCCTAAGCAGAGATAAAATAAAATCGGTCAGGTTTGTTTTAACGCCTATTGGGCACGCAAATATTCATCGTACAAGGAAGCTTTTCTAGGTACAAATTCCTAGCCACTTCTCAGGGTAAGATAGATAGTGATTTCCATTAGAGTTATTAAACAGCACGAAGATGATTTGACTAGCGGCACTTCTGCCGGAAGGAAGGACGACCGTACTGAATTGGCATAATCGTCACAGTGCCAAAGGGCAGCCAAACGCGTGATTCAGGTGTTATTTGCGCCGAAGCGAGGATTTGTGGAGGTCGATAAGAGGCTGTTTGGAAAAACCTATGGGGCATCTGTTAGGTTTCACTTAGAGTATGTCGCCCAGGCCTGGCAACCGTGGTTCATGAAGGATTATCAACGACTGAAAGGTGTACAGGCGATGGCTAAGAAGATGGCCAAGAATCTTGATAATCTGCTTAAGGAAACCAGACTGGCGGGACTAAATCTGTTTCCACTCAGTTGCTGGCGACCGTGCGTCGATCTCATTCAAACCTACCGGTTTGTCAGAGGTCGTTAGCGCGCCCGAGACTGGCGAATTCTTCGAAATGGCCGGGACGGACCGCTTGCGTAGTCATCCCCTTGAGCTGCACAGCAAACTGTCCCATACGGACGTCCGACGGAACGCCTTCTCGCAGAGAGTCACTGGGGCTTGTAACGGACTCTCTGATGCGGTGTTTCTTTCTGGAACTGTTGAATCCTTTAAGTGCAGCTTAGACGCTCATTTGGTGTGACACTGATGTACAGACAATCACGACTGTGTTAGTGGCGGCAGTTTGCGCCTGGTTCACTCTTGTTGTAGACTTTTGAATTTTTACATTTGCTGATGTAACAATTGACTTTATTTCTGTTTATCGCCATAAATAGGGAAGTCAAGGGCAAAAGCCTCATTCAGTTAATAAACTGACTTAACTGACTTATGCGTATTAAGCCGGATCATCAACCGAGGGGAAGACTGAATGGGAAGAAGTTGAAGTTAGAATTCAGGAAGGATGTTGGCAAAGGGGAGGAAGAATTGGAAATAAAAGATTGTCCAGTGGTCGATGTCAAGGATTCATCCTGCGCAACAGACCCGTCCCAATTAAGACTGGACCTGCCCGACAAGGTGAATACTGAAGACCATCTTTATAAATGTAGAGGAGTTGTTTGAAAAACAAGACAAGGTAAGGAACCTAACTCAGGAATTAGAAACACACATCATACTTTTCACACAAACACATTTTCGATGTTTGCGACACTGAATTGCAGATGATTCCTCGCGGACACCAGAAAGAAATTAGCCTCTACAGTTATTTCTCTGGAGAAAGCCTATATACCTAGAAGCTAAGACTAATGTGCACCAGTCCATCTCGATCAGCGTCGGCGGGCTTTTGAATTCGATCCCGCGAAATGAGCAGGCGCCGGTATGCCGGAGTTACTCAGGTCGAATCGAGATTTTGTATATAAATGCTCAGTTTCGTTCCGAAAATCGACGAGCTGGAGGCGTTAGTTTCAGAACGAAACCCTGAGGTCGTTGCCATAACCGTAATATGGTTCAGAACTAAAATCATGGACATCGAGATCTCTGTACAGGGATAACAACTCATTTTCAGAGACCGTCAAAATAGACAGAGTGATGGAGTAGTCCTGTAAGTAGGGACAGGAATTTTGGTAGTTCAGCGAGCGTAAACCCTCCCCCTGGAATAAAAATCCGTTCGGATAGAGATAAGGAAGGGTAGCTCACTAAACCCAGAATTCTTGACGGTTTACAGACCATCAAACGTCCGCCCACAGCTGACGAATCGCTCCCCCAATTAGTCATAGAAGTAACTAGCCACCAAGATGTTCTTATAGCAAGAGATTTCAACGTACGGGCGATAGACTGGGAAGGTCTGCTGGCCGACGGTGCACCAACTTCCTTCAGCTGCAAGCCGAAACACCTCACATCCGACCCCCCCTGGCACAAGATTTGAAGACACCAGTGAGATTAAGAGAGAACCAGGTAGTCAACTGCTTGAAACTAGTTTTTATGAAAGACTTCTCTAACATTGACGAAGTGTATGACATTTTCCCCCTCGCAAGAATAACCACACTACACTACTGTGGGATTACCCGCTCTACTCTAAAGGTCAGAAGAGAACGGAAGAACAGCAAAACATATGGAAAACAAATTTCAGCATGATGAGGAATTAGGCGATAGCCGTGAATTGTACATCTTTAATCACCGGGAATCTACAGGAAAACTATAGATGGTTCATAGCGATTTTGCTGCATCTGCTGCAGTATTTTGTGCAGTAAGCACATGAGAAAGTCAAGTCATCTCGCCTCGTGAACTAGAAATCTTAACAAACATTTAAGTAGGCCAGGGCGTCAGCCATTGCGCTATCGATGAACGGTTTGGCGCTAGTCAGATATGTTTATTAACTACAGAAGAGCAGCTGAAAACGGTCTTTAATTCATTAGCAGTATCTTGCGATGAAATGCCGCTGGAATCATTAGACTCCAGGGAGATTACGCACAATATGCTCCAAGAGATAAGACTGGAAATAAGAACCGATGCACTGCCAAGAGGCCTCGAAAACTGTATAACAGACGGGACGGATTCTGCGCTTGTCGGTCGCTGTGTCGGCTGTAAGGAACTTGAAAAGCGGGTCCAGACGCTAGAAGAGAAGCAAGGCCTACTGACGGACATCATCATGGCTATTCTTAAGCACAGTAAAATAGAATTACCAAATAATCCGTCAAATTTCCGATCGATAAGCGACGAACATCCTACTGATAAAGGCACTAGCGTGGAAAAGTCAAAGCCAGTCAGGAAGAGGAAGCGAGTTATGTCTCCAGAGGAAACTCCAGACAAATCAGTTCCGGTGGATAACGTGGCGGTCGACGCTTATGCATTAAAAATAAGTCAGGTTCCATTACCTGCTATAGTAACTAAACCTGCCAAATCATCGAACACTAAAGTTGGGAAAGCCGGGGTGACCCTCAGAAGATCTGTTAGAAACTACAAAGACTCGCCGTTATTCTTAGAAGGCAATGCTGTTACTCCACTTCTTCACAAGGCTAACTCATCTGGAAAGTGCCCTAACCAATCCGTTTATGGAAAAGGACACGATAAGCCTTCGTGCAGTACATTGCAACAGGGTAATGATTGTAAGAGCTCCACTGCCGGAGCAAGTACGTCACATGATAATCCATGCCCTAAAATCCCTTCGCCGGCCGAAAGTCATTCAAATGTCGAAGTGCCAACATCCGTCGGGAATACTACAGTAGCATTATATCGTCCTAGCGCGGACGGGACAGTAATGAGCTCTTCCATTAATCGTAAGCAAAATATTGTCATAAGGGGCGCCCCAGAGTCCACGTCCTGCATTCCGAAGGAACGAGTGACGCACGACCTAGACCTTCTTCATCAGTACGCCAGTGCCGTCCTGCAGGATGGGGAAATATTCACCGTTAAAAAAGCTTTCCGACTAGGCAGAGCGGACCCAAATCGTGACCTAAAATCATTCCCAAGACCCCTGAAAGTTATTTTGGAAAACGAAGCCCAATCAGCGCTTTTGTTAGAAAGTAGAACGACCTTACGCAATTCGCACAAGGAAGTGTTTTTTCAAGCAGACTACGAACCGAGCGAAAGACTGAAAATGAGAGAACTGAGATCAGAATTGAAGGAGAGAATTGGCAGAGGAGAGAAAGGGCTGAAGATCAAAAATGGACAAATAGTCCAGACAAAGGGGTCTTTCCTGTGGTCAGAACCCGTCACAATGAAGGCCGGGCCTCTCCAACGAATCAGTCATTGAAGGTTATATCCGCAAATGTGCAAAGCCTCTTCAACAAACTAGACGAACTAAGAGACTTAGTTGATGAAATTAAGCCAGACATTATGGCATTCACAGAAACGTGGCTTACTGAAGATATCGCAGATTCAGAAATATCACTTAGAGGATATCAGCAATTCAGGAGAGATAGACTAAGCCGAGGAGGAGGAGTCATAATTTATGTCACTTGCAAGCTAAGCGCTATGGCTGATGCACATAGACCGGTACGGGATGTGGAACTGCTAAGCGTTACCATATCTACTAAGAATGTCCGATCATTGACGCTTTCGGTGGTGTACCGTTCACCTAACCATACTTCTGACCAAGATCTTATGCTCATATCCGAACTGTACCAAGCTAGCGAGAAGAAAGATGTCCTTATCGTTGGGGATTTTAACGCTCCTGGCAGTGATTGGCTAACGTGGACTGCACAAGGGCCGCAAGACAGCTTTAATCACAAACTAATACAATCGGCAACGGACAAACTTCTCTGCCAGAATGTTACCTTTGGATCACGGGTCAGGGAAGGACAGCAGTCGAACTGCCTTGATCTTATTTTTACCCGAGAGGAGGAAAATGTGTTAGACCTGCAGGACCGACAGCCATTAGGGTCAAGCGACCACATCAGGCTCAACTTCGAGTACTCACTGTTTTCCAAACCCGTCCAACCGGAGAGGTGGGAGAGAAACATCTGGAAAGGGGACTATTCTCTCATGAGGACGGAAGCGGCAGCTATATCATGGGAGACTGAACTGCATGGTCGAGCAAACGACAACTAGAATACTTTCAGTTCCTTACTGAAAGAGGTAGTTTATTCCAATTGT